TTCAGCATGTCTGCAACCACTATCCGCAAGGCCGTCATCACGGAGTTCGGCGACGTCTCCAAGGTCCAAATCATTCAGGACACCATCGAGCCGCCTCCGGCAAACCACGTCCAGGTCTCAACCATCTACTCCGGTTTCTCAGGTGCCGACATCAACATGCGCAAAGGCGTCTACCCCATGCAGAAGAAGGCCCCGCTGACTCCGGGCTACTGCCTGGTCGGCACCGTCAAGACCACCCGCCCAGGGTGCACATCCAAGCTCTCACCGGGTGATCTCGTCGCCTGCCTCACAATCTACGACGCCGAAGCCGAGCTGGTCAACCTGCCGGAAAAGTACCTCATCAGAGTACCCCCTGGGACCGACCTGCAGCAGGCCACAGCCCTCATCCTAGACTGGAACACAGCGTACGCCATGGTCTTTGACGTCGCCAAAGTCAGCAAAGGTCAGCGCGTCTTCATCCACGGCGTCAGCGGGGCCGTCGGCTATGCCCTTATGAAGCTGTGCCAGCTGCAAGGCGCCGAGGTCTACGGCACGGCATCGGAGCGGAACCACGCGGCCGCTCGGGAGCAAGGGGCCCACCCGTTCGTGTATACGGACAAGAAGTGGATGCAGGCCGTGAAGGAGCTCGGCGGGGCGGACGCCGTGTTCGATCCCCTCGGGTTCGAGAGCTGGGATGAGTCGTTTTCGGTTCTGTCGCCTACCGGCATCTTGGTCGGCTACGGCGGCAATCTGCGCTCACTCAATGACGATTCGGAGCATGGCTCTGTGATCTTGCCGACGATGAAACTTATGGCGCGCGGCATGGTGCCGTTTTGCGGCAAGAGGACCAAGTTCTACTACATTACGCGCGACGACGCGACGTTTGAGCCGAATCTGAAGGCTTTACTTGAGTTGGTGGCCGAGGGCAAGATCACCGTTCCCATCAAGAAGGTGTGGGAGCTCGAAGAAATTCAGGATGCCCATCGCCAGTGGGCAAGCAGTACGGGGGTTGGATCATCGCTCATTCGGTTGTCGGATGCGAAGGCTTGAGTGAGCGAATGAGTGAGCGGATGAGTGAATGAGCGTGGTTGAGTGAGTGAGTGAGTTGGTGGGTGGAAAACTGTCAGATTTTGAGCAGCAGGCGTCACGGCGTTTTCATAATTGTTCATGTAACCCAATAGGCTTGGACTTATAATAGTAGAATGAATCTCCAAATGAGTTTTTCAAATGACCTGACCAATCTCGCCTTTATCATGGGGTGCATTTTTTACCTTCCTCATTCCGCCTGGCGGCGTCCAACATTTGGTGTTCTGGTGAACAAAAGGGCGTAAGACGGGATCATTGCGCGCCGCGCTTACGGGTTTACAGGCAGGCCATGCTGACGCAGCAAAAGGCTGTTCGGTTGCTCAACTCATTCTTCAGGCCCATGAAAACAAGCTTCCCCTCATCTCACGCCGTTCATCTTCATCTCAATCGTGTCGACCGGCGCCTTCCCTAACATTAGCTGCTGTTCGGCGATAAATTAAAGCGCGCCAGGTGATTGGCAGCAGCGACGAACACGGTGGAAGCCGCGACGTCTCTTCGCCAAAGGCATCTTTCCGACATTCGTCAACTTCTCTGCATCGGGATAAGTACTCGTCAACTTCATCACAACACAATCGCTTCATCACAGTCTTTCGTAGCCCGAACGCAATGAAGGTTTCAATTGGCCTGGCCGCCGTCACGGGCCTCGCCGGCTTCACTGCCGCCAAAAGGCCCGAACCTCCCAAGATCACCGACTTTGACTGGGATACCATCACGCCCGCCCGCAAGCTGGAATACCACCCATGCTACAAAGACTACCAATGCGCCCGCCTCAGCGTCCCTCTCGACTGGCTCGATGAGACGAACGAGCACACGGTCTCTCTGGCAATCATCAAGCTCCCTGCCACCGTCCCCGACGACGACCCATCTTTTGGCGGCACCGTTTTCACCAACCCAGGCGGGCCCGGTGGCTCCGGCGTGAGCATGCTGCTCCGCAATGGCCACGATATGCGCCGCACGCTAAGCGGCGGCAGCAAAATGTACGAGATGCTGAGCTGGGATCCGCGCGGCGTGCAGTTCACGACGCCTGTGGCTGATTGCTACGAGGACGAACTCGCAAGGGACACGGACAACATCCAACGTCTGGCCATCGGGCCGCTTGATGCCAGCCCGGATGCATTGAGGAGGCAGTGGGCGAGGATTCAGGGGTACGGCAGGCTCTGTACCGAGAAGCCGGGCAACGGCTCCATCATCCCATTTGCTACGACGGCATCTGTCTGCCGCGACATGGTCGAGATGGTGGACAAGATTGACGAGCTTCGCAAGGGAGAAGCTGCAGCTTCACAACCCGAGCAGTCGCTAGAGCTCCGGAAGGTTAAGGATGTGCCGCGGATTCAGTACTGGGGCTTCTCATACGGCAGCATCCTCGGCAATACGTTCGCCTCAATGTATCCTGGGCGCGTAGGCCGGCTTATTGTTGATGGCATCGCGGATTCAAATGACTACGTGGCAGGGGTAAGAGTGTACCTATATTCCCATTCACCTCTTCGCATGCGGCTAACACACGTGTGACTAGGGCTGGAAGACCAACCTTCAAGATACGGAGAAGCTTGTTGATTATTTTTACGAGACATGCTTTGAGGCTAAGGAGAAATGCGCGCTGAGCCGGCCTTCGGACAAGCAGTGGCAAGACATTCGTGATCGAGTCGATCAGCTCGTGAAACGTCTCGACGAAGCCCCCGTCGCGGTACTCAACGGCAAGGTGACAAACATCTTGACAGGCTACGATGTCATCCTCTCCTTCAAGAACCCGCTCTACGCGCCCTACACTCGCTTCATCAAACTCGCCAACGAAATCAATGCTGCCATCGAGGGAAACTACACCGCCATCCTGGAGTCCGCCTCCGCCGAGATTCCCAAGATCGACCAGGCCTGTACCCATCCCAACGCCACAGATCTGAGGCTCTCCTGGGGAGACGGCGGTCAGGCGGTCCTTTGCGGCGACGGCGAAGATAACACGAATATGACCCTCGCCGACTACAGGGCCTACGTCGCGGTGCTCGAATCCCAGTCGCCGACCTTCGCCGGCTACTGGGGACAGATTCGGTCCGCCTGCACGAGCTGGCTCGTCCGCCCCAAGTGGCGCTTCACAGGCCCGTTTAAGACACCGTCGCACGATGCTGCGGTTGTAGAAGGCCGGCCCGCAGCGCCGCTGCTCTTCATGTCTTCGCGACTCGACCCCGTGACGCCATTGAGAAACGCTTTCAAAGCGAGCGAGGGACACCCCGGGTCAGTTGTCGTGATTCAAGAGTCGGTGGGCCACGCTGCCTTTGCCACGGGGAGCAAGTGTACGACCAAGATCCTTCGGGAGTATCTTGAGCATGGGACAGTACCGGAGAGCGGGACAGTTTGCCAGCCTGATTGTGGCCCTTGGGATGGCGACGCCTGTGAGTCGGATAGCTTAAGCGTCAACGTGGCGCCTCTTGCGCCGCCGCATGATAGATCTCACCACCGTGTTTATTGAGGCGAAATGGGATAAAAAAAGAGATTCGGGAAATGTCTATGGCGAGGATAGAGGTATTCGTAGATGCGCCTCCACAGGGTGACCATGGGAATACGAGAATAGCAAATAGCTACATGTTAGAATCGTAGATTCAAGACACTGGGAAAGTCAGACATTGCTCAACGATCTCAATGAAACATAAGACGTTGAAGCTTACTTGTAACGTTTGAACCCTTGCATGAAAGATGTTTCCGAGAAGCACCTGATCACAACTGGGTGCTTGTTCTGGAGATACCACTGCTGACCGCTGTATGCAGATGTCAGACGCACGTTTAGCTGAGCGGAGCTGAAGCCGATCTCACATCCGGCATCCGAGTTTGACTGTGTTGCCACGAAATGTCAAGAGATGCCGCAGGAAGTTCTACTCTAATCCCACTGAGTGATGGGAGAAACACTTTCGTCCCATCGTTGGCTACCATACTTGACTCCCCATCACAAAATGCCATGTCTTATCCTTCTCAAACCCACACCGACTTCCAGGTTACACTTGATAGAAGGCCCAACTGAGACATGGTCCCAGATGGACGTCAGTCTCATGCTCGATACGATGCGCAGGGCAACCCCTCTCCTTCCGCCCTGATACGAGGTCTTTTGTTAGTCCGCCCTTGGGATCCGGGATCTAAGGTTCCCCAGACCGGGCTTGGGACCGAGGGGCGATCAACCTGCATGCATCCAACGAAGAGGCGATTAGGTACCGGTGCCTCCCCTCCCTCATGTTGCCAAACAGTCCCCAACAAAAGCCGGTGAAAGAGGGCATTACACAAAACGTGTTCCACTTCCCCTCCATGCCGGTGCCATTTCAGCTTCTACCTAAAGCACCTAGGGATTCGCACGCACGCTAGTGACTGAACCCAGGTCAGCCCGAGGATCAATCTGTTCTAGTGTCTTGCGGGGAGATCGTGGCATTGGTCCGACTGACGCCACTCTCGGGACGTTTTCCCTGGTTTTTTCTGCCACAACCTTCTTTTTTTACGAGATCGATCGGCAGTGGTGAGGAATTAGCCTGGGAGGAAGATGGCATTGTCAATGTTCTGCCAGTAGGACATCGTCATGATGGCTGGCAAGGTACGAAAATATTTTCGAGGCGTAGACCATGTGAGTTCGTATCCGTCGTACGGGTGTCATTCCCGAAGACGGGCCATTGACGGTTGTGGGAGGACGAGTGTTGATCGTACAGCAGCGTAGGCGCTGTACTAATCTACGTGAGGAAGAGCCGAGGCATCTTGCTTCCTCGCAAAGTCAGGAGGATGTGGTTGAGGTCGCATCGTGTTTCTGAGTGAGTATAAAGATGCTGGTGAAGTCTCGATGACTAGGTTCGATAAAGTTGGTCAGACGTTCGTCCTACCTTCACCATCAATCTACCGGCCCGCCAGCACCAACATAATTTCAATCTTCAGCCCTACCTTGGAAGTTTTCTAATTCAAGAATTCTCAATATGAAGTTCGCAGTGCTTCTTACCTCAATCTCATTCATCCTTCCATCCCTCTCTCACCCGCTGGAGGATCGCGATGCCCCTCAGACAGTTCACCTTACCTTCCACGGTGGCCCCGCGTCTTACGAGATGACAATTCCCGCCGATGGGCAGGTGTATCCTACAAGTCAGTCCCAATCCCACACAATTGTTCGCATCGTTGAGAGTGTAACAAGGAACACTAAACCGTCCACACGTAGACAACGACATCTCCGTCAACATCATCGACGCACCGGACTACAACGCCCTCTCCCAGTGCACCTTCTATACAAACGGCGAGAAGGCTCTGGTCGGCGGCATCACGCCCCAGGGTCTCCAGCAGGTCATCATCGGACCACCGCAGCCCGTCACGGGAGTCAGCTGTCTCGGTATCTGTGTCCCGACGTACGGGATGTGCTACGATCTCAACGGGCAGTACGTCGGGCCATGTTGCAACGGCTTTTGTGCGGCGACGAGGTGTAGACCTTGGATCCAGCCTTCTTGAAGACAACATGAAGGCAATATCGGTGGTTTTGCTACTCGCAACTTACTTCGCAAGTAGGATGTCGGCGCTACGCTGGGCGAGACGTACACTCAAGCTGCCGTATGCGGCTTCAGGATCGGTTAAAGTACAAGCTTGATCTTTTGAATCAGAGTCATACTTAATAATCTGAATCACTCAATCATCATTTTCAAGCAGTTCTAGCCATAAATTTATGTGTTCTGACAGACTACATGTGCAGTCTGAAGATGAGTTCGACATCAAACGTGATTCCACAACAAGAATCACCAACAGTTTTGATTCCCTTCCCTTGAATTACCTCGCGGGCAGGTAGAGCGCAGTATCAGCCATCTAACATCTAGACGAAAAAAAGGTCATGAACCCGCGTGATTACTTCATTTCCATGTTCTGTGCTTGCGACTGGTACCCAGTATTGATCGGCCCATAATCGGTTCGCCCCTCGACCTCGTTCTCATGCTGAATGAGCACGCAGCAGGGACACCAAAACGACACGCAGCAGTCGCCGCATGTACTTCCCTCGATGTGGAATTTCTTTCGGATATCGCCGCGCTTGTTCATGAGAAACCTAGTCAGAAAGGCAAAAGGTAGTCAGCGAGCTGCCAAGGACTGCCGTAGGTGCTTTGAGGGGAAAGATGGCAGGAGGTGCCGGCTCAGCATCTTATTAACTTACAGCCAACCGAGACCAATGGAGCCAAGGGCCGAGATCATGAAGCAGTCTCCATTGATGGGTGAGTAGTCTGAGAGGCTGGGGTCGCGCATGCGCTCGGAGGTCTTGCCAAAGACTGGTGCAGGAGACGGGGGGTATGTAAGTCAGCACTTGGATGGATTATCGGTAATAAGGTACTAAAGGTAAGATGGTTTGGGGAAAGGTTTAGTTGACGTACCCATGCATGGAAGAAATGAGGCCATCATGCAGGTGCCGCATGGGCTGCAGTCCATGAGATCACTTTGCCATTCTTGGCTCGGCATCGTGAGAGCAGGGCGAGGATAAACCAGCAGATTATCAATGTAGATAAGCCCTTCCGAGTTCAGCTTGATCGAATACACAGCTGCCGATATACTCGAATTGGTCTCTGAGCGTTCGACTCTGGGAAGCAGAATCAAGCGAAAGCAAAAGTAAAAGAATGCTTGAAGGAACGTAAGTATTGACAAAAGAGAGCCGCTCTGTTGTATGACTGATTTATAATAGAGAAAACACCATTAACTGCCGTAACGAGTGATGAGAATATTACAGGTTGAGAAGTCTGGCTGAGCTCATTGACCATTCTACTAACAGGTTCCTGCTTCCTGGCTTTATATAATAGCCGAACAGGTTCGAACCACAAACTGCCTAGGCTATCGACCTCAACATTGCTCAATGCATAATATTTCCAAATCCACATCACGTAAGGTACGATACCTGGCAAGCCATCACCGGGCCCACACGAATAGGAAGATATCGACGACACCAAGGGTGTCCTTGCAAAGGCGTGCCCTTGAAAATATTATCAGCTCGCTAGGTCCGTACCATAAACGAGTTGGAAAGTCGAGACTTGCTCAAACTGCCGGAAAGGGTCACCTCAACTAGAAGAACGGCATATGATAGCCGAATGTTGCCCACTCGGTTCTGTTCTCACTAGAAATGTTGTCGTCAAGCCTAGGCCCCGCGTAGTTAGTGCAACGTTAGTATCATATGTGGGCACTTCCTCACGAGTCGCAGGATTCATTAGCGGCCGACGAACAGATCGTCTGCAGGGGTCGTATTTTATACGACCCCAGTCACTTACTTTAGTCACGTACTTGTGCCGGTGGACCCCAGCTCAACGTGTCGAGGTCACTTCGGCATCATCCCGACGCAGACTTCTCCATTGCGTCTTCGAGAAAGGATTTGACATGCAGAGACCCAGGAATAAACAATGGAGAGTTCCACCTCAAGCTGCGGCGACCCCGGAGTGATGGCTCTGAAGATTGTTGCCAGGCCTCGGGAATACTTGTTGGCCTCATGACAGGATGAAGGAGAAGAATAGTGGTCCCAGTCGTGGTTGAGCCATTCAATATACACATGCCAGTCCTGATTCATCACTTATCATGCCGACGGTGAGGATTGACATCCTTTCATTTGATCCCCTACTATTCCGGCCGATGGGTCTGCAATGCTGCAGAAACTAGATGCTTAATTTCCGCAATTGCAAAGTCTCATCCTGGAGACACATGCCGAGAGCTCTCGTCATTGTTGCCAGTACACTACTCTATATAAGAAAGGTGGTTTGCTGTTCACCCCTACTTCCTCGCACAAATTCACTGCTTTGGAAACCTCCTTACGAAGCTCAAGTCATCATACCTCATTCAGCCGACATGGCCCTCGCCGTCAATGGAAGCCGCTGCGCAAGCGCGACATTCGGGACCCCTATACTGCTAGGGGCCAGTATTCTCGCGGTGCAAGCTAACCTGGTGGAAGACTACAGCTTCGACGTTCCGAAGGGATGGACCTACTCTCAGCCGGCCCTCGACGTTGAGAACGCCACCTTTTGCAACGTCACCGTTACCTACACGCACCCAGGACAGAACGACACCCTCACGGCCGAGGCCTGGCTACCACCCATAGACCGCTACAACGGTATCTTGCAGTCAGTCGGCGGAGGTGGCTGGAACCCCGGCCGCTTCATACTCAGCTACGCAGCCATGATCAACGCCGTTGCCAACGGCTACGCGACTGTCACCACCGACGCCGGAATCCCTACTACCTCGAACCCCATCGACTGGCTGCTTAAAAGCCCGGGGAGCTTAGACACCAACGCTCTGCAAAACTTTGGTCAGGTCTCCCTGAATGATGAGGTACGCTGCCTTTCTTGGTCGACAACATGGTACATGTACCAAGCCACAATGCTAACCAAAACTTCTCGCAACAGGCTATTATAACGAAACAGCTTATTGAAAGCTTCTACGGCAAGCCTCCTGCGCGATCCTATTGGAATGCCTGCTCCCAGGGCGGCCGTCAGGGCCTCAAACTGGCGCAGCAATACCCAGACGCCTACGACGGCATCATGTCAGCCGCCCCCGCCGTCAACTGGGCCGAGTTCTACCTCAATTCGATCTGGCCTAGCTACTACATGCTCAAGACCCAGCAGTTCCCGCTGGGGTGCGAACTCAACGCGATCACCGCCCTTGCCATCTCTGCCTGCGACGAGCTAGACGGTGTCAAGGACGGCCTCGTCAGTGATCCCGAGGCCTGCAGGGCAAACTTCAACGTTTCCGCGCAGGTTGGCAAGTCTTTTACGTGCGCGCAGATTAACTCGACGCTCGAAATCAGTGAAGCAGCCGCCAACGTGGCCATCGCCTCCTGGACCGGTCCCCGTTCTTCCACTGGGAGATTCATCTACGATGGGTACGAGATGGGCAGCGATCTATCCGTCATCGCACCGACAGAATGCACCGGCAAGGTCTGCACGAGCAGCACTGCTGAGGCAAACGTTGCCTTTGCCTGGCAGGCTTTCGTCTCCAAAGACCCCAATGCTACGGTGCCTACTCTTACAGACACAATGTTTGACACGATCCACCGCGCCACCAAATTGGTCTTTGCCTCCAACATGGAGACCGACGAGGCGGACCTGAGCGACTTCAAAAATGCAGGGGGCAAGATCATTACCTACCACGGACTCGTAAGTGCCCCTTCCTTTGCTTGATCCCTAACTACCGTACAATGTACTGAGCTAATATTCCATAGGCCGATCAAAGCATCTCTCCTGGCGGCACTCTCCGATACTACAACACCGTCTCTGACGTTGTCGGCGGCAACATTAGCTCGTTTTACAAATACTATCGCGTCCCCGGGCTCGAGCACTGCTGGGGTGGCAGAGGAGGACAACCCGAGGCCCTCTTCGCGCAGCTTCGGGCCTGGGTCGAGAACGGGACGGAGCCGGAGTCTTCACCAGTGATCGTGACGCTGCCGGATGGATCGACGCAAGAGCAGGTGCTGTGCCCGTATCCGCAGAAGGCGAGGTTTGATGACGCGTGTGCGAGAAGGAACGCAACTTCTTGCTGGTCTTGTTCTGAATAAACTTGATACTTGGCACCTTGGCTATCAGGTAGGGTTTGGGAGAACGGGGGTCAGTTTGTTGACTCTAGTCAGATTTCAGGCTTTAGGCGATTTGTTCATATAACTAGGCCTTTTCGTTATCACTCACAAACGTTGCTTCGAACGATTCTTTTTCTTTTATGCATCTCACGGCATGGGCTTCGTGACGTAGGTAATGTGGGGGGTTGCTATATTCTACATGTAATAGTTTAGATTTCTTCAGGCGTCTTCCGTAAATAAGGGCCGCGGATGAAAGGCTTCATGATTCGTGAGTCTGTCTTGACGACACTTTATCAGCTGTATATGTCACACCAGTGACCTGCTATTACACGGTAGTCTTGATTGTGAGTGTTAGGCACAGAATGATCGTCACTGATGTATATGGAGATCGTCGGGGCCGATGAGATAGCCTTAGATACTGAGAATTGAGTCACTCTGTGGACGCGTTTGCTTCCTATCTTTCTTGAGGTCGAGATCCCCTGAAGTCGGTTGAACTAAGCCAAAGGGGCTGGACGGAGCCAAAATGATTCAGTCACTGCTCATTGGTGATTGGCTACTGCTCCCCACCTCGTTGGCCTGCGTCCTTGTTTGATTTTTATCTTTTTCGTTTCGTCTCGTATCCCGTTCTGCACTTTGACCATCCCCAATGCGCCCAATTCGAAGTTATAATTGATGACTTCGTCCAATACATTGGAACCGTCTTCTGGACGCTGAGTGATTCGATCCTGCCTAGCTATTTACCACCTAATTACCCTACAAATGCTGGGTGCTGGTCCTCCGCATGCGGCGCACGCTGATCCGGGCTGCACCTGCACAACATGCCACATCGTGAAGCGGCGGCCGCATAAAAAGTCGAGGGGAGGCTGCGAAACGTGCAAGAAGCGCCGGATCAAGGCAAGTCTCCCATAATACGTTGCATGGCTACGAAACTTACCGACTAGCACAGTGTGACGAAGTCAAGCCCAAGTGCGGGCAGTGCTCGAAAGCCCTACACAACTGCAGCTTCGAGTCCTCAACACTAAGCTCAGACCTGGACACCCCAGCCAATGCCTCTCATGATGCCCTCAATCGTGGCCAATCTTCCAAGTACTCGAAGGCAAACGAATCTCGGCATGATATGCCTCAAAGCGACTACTCTACTAGACACAACCAGCAGCTCGGTGTCCCAGTGGCTTCCTCGTCTTCCAGCACCCTGAGCCACACCTCCTCGCCAGGCAGCAGCACATCGGCCGGTCCAGACTCTCTACTTCTGGGAACATCCCTAAAAGGACTCATCCCATGGATATGGACCGTTGATGATCTTGCCCTACTGCACCACTTCCTCACCTGCCCAGCTCTGGACCACGGCGACGCAATCCTCTGGCGTCAAAAGGTGCCCCTCCTCGCCTTCGAAAACCATTCCGTCCTCCACCTCCTCCTCGCCGTGTCCGCGTTTCATCTAGCTACCATAAAACCAGACGAGCGAACGAGGTATCGAGGGCTGGCAGACAAACACTACGAGGCCGGCCTACGTCAGACCATGGAACTCATGCCCCGCCTCAGCCTCGACTCTGCTGGCGTCCTCTACATCGCCACCACTCTCATCTGCTCCTGTAGCTTTGCCCGCGGTCCCGCGCCGGGAAATCTGCTCATAGTCTCGGATGGCGTTGAGGTGGCCTGGTTCGAGCTGCTCAAGGGCGTCAGGCTCGTCATTGAGACGGTCGGCTTCGAGGCCATCTTCTCAGGCGTCCTCGCTCCTACGCCTTCAGAAGAAAAGCCGCCACCGAGGAAGGACCCGTCAGGCCAGGCTTCAGTGTCGTGTTCAAGCCCGACAGCGTCAAGACCCGTTACATGGGAACATGCTCTCGGGCGCATCGCACAGCTCATTGCTGACACTGCGGATCCCGACGAAGTAACTTACAGAAAGATGATTCAATACGTATCCTCCGCCTTCCAAGAAACCTTTGGAACCTTCGCTGAGCCCACCACCGCGTCCGAGGGCAAGATGGAGGTGATTATGGCTTGCATCTACCGCACCGATGACGACTTCGTGCGATGTCTCAAAATGAAAAAGACCATCGCCCTGGTTGTGCTGGGGCACTTTGCCGTACTGGTCAAGAAGCTCGAGTGGCTGTGGTACATGCGCGGCTGGGCTGATCAAATTCTACAAGGCGTGGCGTCGAATCTAGATGCTGCGTACTTGGATTTCCTGCAGTGGCCGAGGAAAGAGATTGAAAGACTTGAATTCGCTACAGGGAATGAGAATACTTGATCATTGACTCTTTTGCTCATTCACGCCTGACTCTACCACCAGATCGATCGGTTGTGAGAGGAAACCACTACAAGGTGGGGTGGTTAGGCCTTCACTATAGGTACCCTATAGGGAGTACACAAGACAATGCCATAAAGTTTGACTGAGTAGCCGTCAGAAAGTCCTCAAAAACTGATGAGCTGCACATTACGACCATCCAATTCTCTATGGTGTGGTGACAGGTACGACAGTTGCCATGTTAACCATCGTTCCCGAGAGTCGCCGAAGGGTTTGGGGAAGTACGAAGGACCTGGGTCGCGCTCAGAGTCTTGCTTGATAAGTACTGTGATCTATTCTGGTAAGATATATTTCAGATATATAAAAATTGAGCCGCCTGGACAGTAGATGAGGCAGGTAAGAACCTGAGCCATCATCAGTGCCAAGATGGCCGACCCGGCAATGTGGGGCCGGGCGCCGACCCCGACATTCATTTTCCGGTGCGCTCAGATCCGGATCCAGAAGTCATCATCTTTGATCACTTACACCTTCTCATCAGCTTACTTAGGAGATACGGCCCGTATCATCCGCTGTTGGTTGTGATTGATCCGGGTTAAGCTGCCCATGCTGACAGGATCATCACCCCGCAGATAGACAACGCGTCCTCTGTATTTCTAATCGAGAACGCCGTAAGCCGGGTCATTAAACGGCCGCAGGTCTTTGATAACGTATCTTAATTGAAGTCATCAGATGCGAGTTTCAATCTTTCAGTCATGCTTTATATAGCGAGCCGGCGTCTGTATCACCGTGTCTCATCTACTTCCACGGAATCCACCGACTTCAGTACCATTTCCAGCTAGACCAAGTCTGATCCTCTATCATCCTCCATACAATTGAGAGCAAGTAGCAGCTACGATAATGGCACCAGAATTTGCTCCAACCCGCGCAGTCCTGCACATCGAGGATTGTGATATTCACTATTGGTCCCAAGGCAAAGGTCCGCTCATCGTCTTCATCCCGGGAGGCAATGGCCATGGACGGCAATATGACACGATCATAGCCTCTCTATCGGATAGATATACATGCGCCACCCTTGACCGTCGTCAAATGTCAGCAAGTCAAGCCAAAGTCAACAAGAGGCTCAATCCTCCACAGCAAGCCCGCGATATTCGCGCCATCATTGAGGCCCTCGGCTTCGACAAAGCCACTCTTTTCGGGAGTAGCATGGGCGGTATCCTTGCATTTCAGTTCGCCCTCGACTTTCCAGACATGGTCGAACACGTCATCTCCCACGAAGCTCCGACCTTCATGCTTCTCCCCAATGCCACCGAAGTCTTTGAGTTCTTGTATAATTGTCTCGACATATATGAGGCTTCAGGCGTCGATGCTGCGCAGGAAAAGTTCAGCTCTAAGCTGATCGGCTATTTCGATGAAGGTGTTCCTCGCACGGGGCCATCGGATCCAATGAATCCCCCGAATCACTGGGCCAACGAATTTGCCGTCTTGCTGGGCTATCTGCCGAGTTTGTATCGCATCAGGGAGAACGGAACGAGCATCGGGCTGATGAGGGGCATTCGGAGCAGAGAGGCGTGGTATGCTCAGGCGGTCGACGAGCAGGCCAAGATTCTGGGGTGTCCGAAGCTTGACGTCGCGGGTGCTCACGAGGGCTTCAGAGTCGAATGCGAGGCGTTTCTCCCGTACTTTGTCGAGTTGATGGACATTCTAGACAAGGCCAAGAGCAAGAGCTCTTGATGATAAGATTAGTGGATAGTCAAAAGACATCAGAGTGACCCTGCATCATGGCCTGGTATCTTTCTACCCATGTGGACCCATACTTCGTTGTGTTCGACATGGGCGGAGGGAGTGTTGCTTTGGGCAAGGATTCTGGTTAGTTAAATTTGAGTTTCCGCAGGCCCCTTTTCTCCCTCCAGTAATTCGTGCCTTCGAGCATTTCGGTGCAGCCGTCAAGCAACCAGCCCCATTTCCGGAGAAACGGTTCCGTGGCCTCCCAGCCCCGCGGATCCCACGGCTCTCCCCAAACAATCAGCGCCGCGTCTTCGACTCCTGCCCCCGCGCCCACATCGACCACGTCCCGGCACATTTCGTCTTCGTCAATGTAGTCCTCGCCGTGCTCGGCCACGATTCGTAGAAAGTTGTCTCGCATTCGGGGGTGCGGGAAGAAGTCGATCCAGGGGTGATGTTCGACGGACAACTGCAGCGCCGTGGGCAGCATGTTGGACGGACACGATGCCGATGTCGTGGCAGGACCCAGGTCAGGACCGGTTTTGTTAAAGGGCGAGATAGCGTCGTAGGTCAGCCACTCCTTGTTGAAGCTGAGGGCTTTGGCGTTGCGAACAAAGGCGTGGAAGACATTGACGCGGACGAGGGTCGTGAGGTAGTCTGTACAGGGCCGGCCGCGCATATAGTCCTCGTAGGCACCCTCGGCGAACTTTTCTAGCATGGCTGGCATGCCTGTCTTGCCCAGGAGGCAGACATCTGGAACGGCGGCCTTTCCAATCTTCCCTGCGATGATGGCCGCCAGGGCTGTCTGGGTATTTTCGTTAGTTGGCGAGGCGGACTCTTTCTTCACCAAGGCTGTCGATGGGTCGGATTCCACCTCGGTTGACGGACTTCTATCTGATGGAGAATGTTTGCCGAGTTTCTTCTGTGCTCTCCGCCCTTGTAATACGCGTGTAACCGTTAGCTGAATGATACCACTAGCCTTGCCCGTGCGGGTAGTAGATGTCAGCAGATCGGTACCGAGGTGGACTCACTTCGCGCTCTCTGGTTCAGCCGGTTCTGTAATTTACGCCTCTCCGCCGTACTCGTAACTCCGGTCCAGTCCTCTGAAGGATCCCTTAGTTCAGCCAAACGAGGATTCGCAATCACTGGGATAACTGTCCCGGCAGGAATCGCCGGGCCGGGACTGAAACACATCTCCATTGTTGCCGTCGCTTCTATACGTGGAAAGATATCCTCGAAAGACATTGGTCAAAAAGGCGTTGGGCAAATGAGAGAGCCGAAGAAACAAGGCCGGGAGCGTCAGCAGTCAGCAGCTCCGAGATCTGGTCAATCTTTGACAAACGGATGACAACAATGCTCGAAGGAGATGAGACTGGTCCTCCAGAAGACTATATGCAGCCTGCTGACAGCCTTCCACCGTCTAAGTGCCAGGGATGGTGCCACAAGGCCGGAACCTAAATGGTCGAATCGGCGTCGATGCCTTTTTTTCGATGGTGGGGACTCCTACTGACTCAGGCCTAGTTTGTGCGGATAGGCTCAGCAAAGTCGAGGTTGCCCACGACTTATCTCTTGTATTTTCGAACACTTGAGGGCCTTTTGCGGAAACTTGAGGGAAAGCAAAACTGAGGATTAGTGTTGTCCTTATGTTTCTCCTTTTTGTGAATTACTATCTTCGAGATGGATTGCTAATCCAAGCACTATCTGGCCGTTGTCATCGGCGAGGCGAAGCACTCTCCCAGACGGGAGTGTATTCGGACGGATTTAAAGCCCCTGTTTGATCTCTAACCAGATTTTAGCGTGTCAGCAGTCTGCATTAGCGTCCGCAGACTGACGTTTGTCTCTTCATACTGACGAATCAAGACGCGGAGAGCGTCTGGGCTATCCCTGTTTAGAGTAACTCGCTCTCGCTCTCCTTTGGAGCTACAGCCTGAGGCTGGTTCATCACGTCGGTGCACTCACAACATTCAACTGTTAGACTTTCCCAATCGCGAATTAATGCCTTGGCTAATCATCCCATATCTCTACTCGGCACGTCCTCCACCCCGTAGGAATCCATATGTAGAACTCTCCATCTCACAACTCTCTACTGTCCCTAAGCGGATGCTCGCTTCCACTTCGGGGTCTACCACGATCACCACGAGTCAGGGGCGTAGTCGTATTGTTCATCTACCGTACGGACAGATAGAAGTTGATAGCCCTCGTTCTTCAGGACCTATCTTCTATCTGGCTTTTCCGATCGAGAATCGATGCGGTAGCAAAATACCACCGAGCCGAACCAAGCCGACATCGAGACGAACTCTGTCAAAGTGCCCGAGCCTGCGAATCGATCATCGTACATGCCACGACTCCAACGACTCACCGACTCAGCTGATCACGATTATCCTAAAGCCGATACTCCCCGATGCCCTTGAACGCCGCCGCGCTCGTGGCTTGACCGCGGCACTTGCCGGCAAAATGAGTCAGCAAGAGGGTGGAGTTGATATTTTTAATAGCCAAAGGCACATTTTCCTCCCGCTCCTGAAAGCTACAGGAGGCTCTTGGCCAAGATGCTTGTCGAATACTGCGGTCTGTTGCCAACGCGTGTACGGTTCTCTGATATTCCAATGCTACTCGTATCAACCATGGCTTGAAGTTGATGAGCTGCATTCACGACAGATCTCTTCGACTCCGAGACACAAACACCGAAAGACTTCGTTGCGTTGGATAGTGTGGATAAGTGTATTCAGGTCCGAGTCTATGGGACAAAGCCGGATGAAAGAAATGGTGCCGGCGATGGAAGAAGAGAATTTATATACGGGGAAAAGAAGAGATATCCTCCACTCAGTATACTCTTGGAGACACTCCCGAAGCGATCAGGGTCGTGTGCAACTTCGAGTCTCCCTTCAGTCCTTTTAGACAGCGTAGGTGCTGCCAATGGGACCGAAGCGGATGTTGGACCAGACAACCTGCGAATTGGGGAACTGCTCGATAACTTCGGCGGGGACACCAGAAGTCGGGGCGCAAGGTCCGCGTTCGGTGCCGGGCTCTCCAGCCCTCTCGGGCGGGTAGGTGGAGTCGAGCCAGAGCATGTTGGCGTAGTGCTACAGCGGAACATCAGCTTGGCATAGTCAAAGGCTGACGGAGACATTGGTAGGACTACTTACGTCGCTCCAGATGGACATCACAAGAGTCATGGGAATGTTGAGCGCGGCGTTGAGCTGGGGGTATCCGCCGACCTCGTTGAAGCGGTCTCGCTCGTTGAAGACAGCGAACTGGCGCTCGCAGTACTCGGGCGTGATCTC